TTTGATTCTATTGACCATACAATCTTATTGCAAAAGATGAATGATCAATTTGGAATAAAAAATGTGGAACTGGATTGGTTTAAGTCCTATCTAACTAATAGAGAGCAAGCATGCATTGTCAACGGTGCAATGTCATCACCTAAAACGATTGTGTGCGGAGTTCCGCAGGGATCAATTCTTGGTCCCTTGCTGTTTTTATTATATATTAATGATTTACCCAAATGCCTCGAAAAAACTTCGCCACACCTATACGCTGATGATACTCAAATTTCTACTTCTGCTAAAACTATTGAGGAACTTACTGAAAATCTAAATAATGACCTGAAAAAAGTCGGTGAGTGGCTTGCTCGAAATAAACTGCAACACCACCGAACTAAGACCAAATTAATGTATATCGGTTCAAAGTATAATACTGATACTATGACTTATGATATTCCAGTAATGATGAATAACCAATTCATAACTCTTGCTCATTCATACACATGCCTTGGGGTTAAACTTGATGAAAACCTTAATTGGCATGAGCATGTTGAAATGATTTGTAAGAAAGTTGAGGCCGGCATAGGAGCAATGCAACGAATTAAGCCATATGTTCCTATAAATACCCTGCATACCATTTACAGAGCTTTGATAGAACCGTATTTTGATTATTGTAGTCCATTATGGGACGTCTGTAACCAACAGCTGAAAGATAAGCTTCAAAGTTCCAAAACCGTGCAGCGAGAATTATAACCGGCGCCAGCTATGAAATAAGGTCTGCTGATGTTCTTCGATCCCTTGCTTGGGAAAATTTAGAGATAAGACAACGTACAACTAAATCCACATTAATGTATAAAGTCCTGAATGATTGCGCTGGGCCGAACTTGAAGGATGCTCTAACGAGAAGGGACCTTGTTCAAACCAGTTATAACCTTCGCAATACTTATACTGACCTTACCCTTGCTAAGCCAAAACGAGAATTTCTAAAAAAAAGCTTTAAGTATAGCGGAGCTAAATTGTGGAATAGTCTTCCTTCTGATGCGAAGCTAGCGCAATCAATTTATTCTTTTAAAAACTGCCTGAAAGTTTCACGCTAACATCTTCTAATATACTGTATATGCATGCTTTAGAAATATGGGTCACACCGTTTGGAACTTAATTCTTGTATTGTAAATAGTTGTATATAATTCTTTATTCTTTTCTATATCATATTTGTAATTTTTAATAGTAACAGACGTCCCTCGTGAAAATGAACAAATCGTTGACGAGGCTAACGTCTTTAAATAAAGTTTACATACATACATACATAAAGCAATCGAATACGAGGCGTGCTAACAAGGAAACAAAATATAAGAGACTTTATATAATGATATAAAAACCTGACAAATAAATAACAGAAGCAATTTAAAAATGCAATTAAACGAGGGTAAACTAGAGACAAATCTCAAATAAGTTAAACCAACTGAACCCGTACCTTTAGAGTGGTTTTGCTCTGTGCTATAAACAGTGGCCAGACAACACCGCGTGATATGGAAATCCAACAGAAACCGCGTGATATGGAAAATATCTGAAATATATAAAGAACAGCAATTAATCGACGGTAAATACCAAAGAAACAATCAAATAAATACGATGGTAACTACAAATAAACAACAGAATAAAAAATTACCTTTAAACCTTTCAAAACCAAAGAATTTTCGGAGAAGAAATTTAGCAAACCTCACACGTGTAAGAACGTCGCAGAAAGACAGCCTCGTACACAGGCGCTAAAATGGACACACTACAGTGTTATTATATATATCAGTGGCTCGAGCGCGCGGGGGTGCTTGGGGAGGACGCAGGAAAAGAAGCTTCGCTAACCCGCTGCGTCCTCCCCAAGCACCCCCGCGCGCTCGCTCATCTTAGCCACTGATCTATATAAAAAAACTGTAGTATGCCTATTTTTAGTTAATTGAGCCTGGGTACGAGGCTGGCAGAAAGAACAAAGATCGGAAGCCGGACTGCCGGAGGCCTTTCAATACTTGTGCTTCCACGTGAATATTAAAACGTCCAAATTCGAATTAAGGATAAAATTGGATAAAAGAAAGAAACGTATCTCATTATTAAAATATTTATCAACATATGTTTTCATAAAGCAAAGCAGAACTATCTTGCTCCGAAATTGTGCTGAACAGTGAACTGAATCAATGTAAGTCTAGTATGTCTTTGCATGTCTTAATGTCTAGAAACGCAGGGTTCCACGGCGTGGAAACACCACGGAAAAATAGCTTACTGCGCATTTCCGATCGCGCATGACCACAATGCACTGCGCTAGAATGTTTTGAGATAAAAATCCCCATCTACACAAATTAGATTTGCGGCGTCGCTCGCTCGCTTCAGGCTCGCTCGCTTCCGCAGCAATTATCCCCGAGCCAGGGTACTAATTCCCCCCGGCTATTTACACCCGGGGAAACAAAAGTGTCAGTCACCAACGATGGGTGGTCATCCTCACTGATCTCAAAAATATGGCGGACTATCATAAATAACGGACACTGATTGGTCCAATTTAAAGTTTGCATTATAACGACTGCATGACGACAGCGAAATAGCAAACATTTCTTGATTTGATGATTGATAAATTTCTTGCAAATATATTTCATTTTTGCTCGTATTTCTGCAAGATTTTGCAAATTTCAAGGAAGAAAGGGCGAAAGAATCGGCTAAAAGAAGGGAGCCGACGTTAACGAAGGCATAGAATGAGATTATAGATCATACCAGTCGGGCAGATGTCTCACTGTGTATCTTTCCCTATGATTTTTGTGTTACCTTCCCAGTGCAAGGATCGGACTACGAGTGCAGGGACTGTCGGAGATATTGCTCCCATCAGTGGTTTAAACAAACATGAAATGCATGATTTGAAATGCATATTAGTACTTAGTAGCGTGGTACAGTCATTTTGGTCGAAGAAAACAAAAATACCAATGTATTCCTTCTTTTCCACTAAAAATCATTAAAAATTCGCAGATATCTTTTAATAACAAATTAAATTATAATTTTCAAATTTTGCTTTGCCATTTCAACGGGAGGGATGCTTGCCATATAATAATATATATTTGCGACCTAGAATTAAACAGGCGTGCATGTAAATACCGTATCACCGCCTTCACAAGTAACTATGGTTTTGTAGATATATAACTTTTCAAAAACTTTGTGAAACAATTTAATTGTTAGATAGAAACAACTATAGATCTCTAAAATATACGACCGGGTCACACCAATTTAATTTAATTTCCTTTTATAAATCTCTTGTAAATAGGTATCATATTTCCGTATTAAAGTAATATATTCACTCGTGCAGCTATGCGTGAAATCCAGTGACAGTGTGAACTAGACCATGCCAAATGATGACTCGGACTATTATGTGTTCAAAAGTATTTGTCTCGCTCTGTTGTATGTGAAAACCACCACAATTGTCCTATTTTCCGCCTTCGTAATCTTCAACAGAGTTTCCTAGTCCTCGGCCTTGACGGGCAACATGAATGCTTCTGAGAAGGAAGCAATAAATGGCGATCAACAATATGCTTTACTACCAAACGACGAGCCAAACGAAGAAGAGACTGAAGAGAAGCTGGTCACCATTCATGAATTCCGCGACCATGAACATGCGACAACGTAAGTAGAGCATTGAGTTATACTAGATAATCAACTTGAGTTCGACTTTGAGTAGCTATAATCATATTTATACTGATCAGATTGGGGATCAGATTGTTCGTTTAGGTATCACATGTTATTGTTTGTTGTAGACAACTGTTGTGCATTTATTTATATAATAGACTGCCGTGGTACTGGTTTGTGTCTGAGTTATACCCGAGGAAGATTCACCGGCGAAGCAGAATGGATCGAACTGTGATGTTTTTCAGGTCGTTCAGACACAAACGGCGATGCTAAATTACATAGGCTAAACCTGGGCTATACATGCACTGCATCATCAGGTTTCAGACATATATGTGCATACAGTATAAGTTAATTTAAAGGTCTCACAAAAATCACTACAAACGAACTATTAATAAGGTTGGATTATAGCTGGCCTCTTGCTAACAAAGGTCATTTTACTTGATCGCGTTCTCTGTAATAATAGTCAGTTTAAATCCTATGCGAGCTACATTCATTTGCTGCAATTTTGAAAGTGGGCCAAAAGACTTCCCACAAGTTGACTTCTGTTAACTGCAAACGGCAAAGTTCAAATCGTATTTTGAAGTCAACTGTTACCAACTGTTACCCAACTTACCCTGAAGCGTGAATAGCCACTTAGCTGTCAAAAACGTGTAGAACTTATGACCTTCGAATGCGATTCGAAGTTTGCCGTTTGCGGTTTAATAGTGGTGCTGCCGTAAAAGTCAGTCTTAAAGTCGCCGATATTTGATTTTTTTATATGTCGCTCTCTCACTGCAAAATCCGAAGAAAGCAAACTTAGGGTTAGCCAGTTGGGGTTATAATATTCAAGACTACAGGATTATAGCCTATATATTTTATATAATAAGTTAGAACTGATCGGATTATAGTGATGAGCAGCCAAGTGGGTTAAATTAAATGCATGCATATACATGCATGAGTGCAAGCTTCAACTAAGGCAGCGTTTACACTGTACCGTTTTCGTAGCGTTCTCGTATTGTTCTTAATCCTCAAGGGAACGCAAGACAATAGTCTAGTTCTCTCGAACAATACGAGAGCGCTACGAAAACGGTACAGTGTAAACGCTGCCTATAATATGCCACGAATAGACAGTATACAACCGCCTCAAACTGCAAGGTAAATTATTGGACGAAGTAGTTCTGCTCTATGCTGCACTAGTTTTTCTTCGAATATACTTCTGCACTCTACAGTATATACAGTTCATTATATCTTGTAGAATATCATGCTGTTCGTGAGCATGTTTCAGTTGGTTACCTTTGCGATCAGGCGATATCATCGTCCATAGAAACTGATGACATTTTATGCACAGTCATCCGTATCGAATTAGGCCTCCACATTTACGATCTCGAAGTTGATTATACTCGTTATATTAAATGCTCTACTAATTTTCCTTACGTACATAAGGGCAAGGGAGTCGTCTTTTTCGTGTGTGTGCTTTTACGACATTTTTCATTCAGAATGCCTCCGTACTGTTATACCCGTTTACTATAATATTCAAATTATAGGAGGAAAAAATTGACATATTGTGATATTCATCTAGCAGCACGTAATGACAATGACGACAAAATTAAACCACATGCACTTTGTCCACTTTCGGTTTATTTGATATCATGCAGCAAACCGATCTTCCCACCATTGACCGAAAACAAATTTGGTTCATAAATTTGCAAAATCATAGCCAATCTTCATGCACAGTCTCTTTAAGACTTCACCAAATTGGCCTAGTATATCTACTGGCCAATCAAAGGTCTGCCAGAAATATTTACACAAGCCAGTCGCATCAGTGCTTTTTTTGGCAGAATTAAATTTCAAATATGTTGTATAATTTCCATTTTTAAATTGATATCGTCACTAAGTAAAGGAACTGATCCAATTATACATAGGCGGCGTATACTGGGGGGAGGGGGGGGGGGAAATAAGCGGGGCGGACAAAAATTTACCTGCATGCCCCGTTCGGAATTGAGATTTATCAACATTTTTTGTAGAGGAATGGAAGATTTTTTGAATCAGGAAGATTATATACAATTTTCAATCCTAACCAGGGACAGCTGCGAAGTTAAAATGCAACTGAGGCCCTCTGGGAGGAATCGAACCTGAGGCCCTTCGATTCCAGATGGCCTATATATTATATTACAATTTTGCGAGGCAGGCGTAGCAAATTACCTGATTTTTTAATAGAATATGCCCTCCGTTTCACACGCCCACACAGTAATTTACTAATGAGAGCGAGGCTCCAAGATCAAAAAATATGTGTGATGTAATTATCGCAAGAGTGTATTTTGTGCGTCAATTTCGTGGGAAATCCGTATTTTTGGGTCAGGCAGAATAAGTTTAATTAACGCGTGCACACTAAACTGTAAACACTATTTTCTGGCTTTCCTCACTGAAAATTGGTTGACACCACATCTAAGATTAGTTGGGCAATGTCCAATCTACCAGAACGCCCGTCTATATCGTGTGATGTAGCTATAACTTTTATTGAAAAAGGCAATTGTAATTTCTATAATGCAGAGCAATTCTTATAAATATATCGCGAGTTAGTGTGCAGTTAATTAGTACAGCCAAATTATAATTTGGCAAATTCCCGACCATTGTTCACATCACATTCACGATTAATTATGTGTATTGCAGAGATTTTGAGACCTTACTGCACATTGTGAAGGCTACCATTGGATCTGGTATACTTAATCTGCCTGCAGCAGTTAAGAATGCCGGAGTTGTGGTAAGTAATTCATTGCATATATACAGTGTATAGCAAGAGGGCTGGTTTTAGCATAGTACCTGCATGGAGCATGCATAAAGTAAGTGCACGAGTTCGAAGGCATACTATTTTAAGTAAATACCAACTACTCATGCAAGGCTTGTGAGTCCAAACAGACTAAAACATTAAACTAACAAACTAACAGTCCACCAAATTCACGTAGCGAATATAGCGACGGTAAACTTAGTTTAGGCACCACAATCTTCGTTTTCATAACTTCTAAGAATGCCTTTTCGCATCGTGTTTGAATAAATGTACGTTCTCATCTCAAACATGCAGTTATAATATTAATTCGTTTGATTATAAAAAGGAAATTATTAAAGAGTAGTTTTAATTTCTTTCTTCCAGTTCGGTCCATTTGGTTTGCTTTTTGTGGCAATAGTTACAGTTCATTGCGAGCATCTATTGGTTATCAGTTCACGAGCTTGGTGCAGGGTGTAAGTATACTGACCCCTCAATTTGGTTATCAGGTTTACTAGAAACGTAAACTTAAAGTGCCACTAACCGCAAATATGATTTTGGTAGCCTATATATGTAATACTTGGGTGATAATAGGGATCCTGATCTAGGAACTCTTCACTGTCAAAGTTGTGAAATAAGATGTCATTAGATGAATTTTTGGAGCAAAATACAAAGAAAAACTAAATAAATTTATTATTCATCTATAATATATATGATATTTTATCCCGAAACTTTGACACTGGTAAAATCGATCAAGATCTGGATTTGTATACTTTAAAGATATATTACATTTCTTCCTAGAATTAACCAAATATTACACATATACCAAGTTCAATGGGCTATAGGAGCACTTTAAATCGTCGTATAATGTAATCATTTGTCGCTAGTAATATACATGATAAAATTACTCGATTCTGATTGGCTAATTAGAGGATCGAGTGCAATTTATACATATCGAAATACAGTGCCAAGTAAATGAAATACAGTGACTATATAAGGACGAGCAAGGACTAAAAAAGACATTTTGATGTTCAAATTCATTGTTTTCTGCGCTCTTGTTGTGAAGGAAAATGACTATTGGATCACTTTAAATGTGATTTATCGCAAATTTCTGTCAATCACAACTTTAAATAGTAATGGATTTTTCAAATTAAATTTGAATGTATTAATTTTTGCTTCGGCTGATAAAGCTACGTTTACACACAACGATTAATCGATTTCAGGTTTGCCTAATGTTAATGACGTACGTTGTCAGTTGACGATGTTGTCAGATGACGTTGACAGCGTATTTTTCAAATATAATTTAACAAAAGCTGAACTGGCCAGATTAATCGTTGTGTGTAAACATACAGTACCTTAACCCCGAGGCAGGTTTAACCCCCCATCCAGCGTTCAAAGGGATGCCGCCAATGACGTCATACCATCAATGACATCATAACCGGAAATACCCGCCCAATTATTAAGTATGCACGTTCAACTATTCCCGCATAAATTATTGGGTACGCATGTTCAACTCTGTGCATCCGGTTTAATTGTATTTAGTAAGCATTACATAATTGTATTGCACATGTCTATAAAAGAGACCGAGCGTTTACTCACTGATATCACTGCATACTAAGCCTTTGACAATGAATTTTTCACAAAATTTTGAGCAATCGAACTGGGCCAACAGTGTTCGTGCAGACGAAGTTTCGTCCTCTGATTATAAAAGGCTGTTTAGTTTGTTAGAGGCTATATGTGCAGAGGCTGTTGCTTGCGAAGTTGGTAAACTTGCTAAAGAGAGTTGTTGTGATTGTGAGTACGACCATCGGAGTCAACGCCAGCATGACTGTCTCATGTTATCGGAACAAGAGAGATGGCAATCGTATGGTTTGGAAGCCATAGAGCGAGTTAGCAAAAAAAATACATGGTATATGGAATTAAGTCGGGTTTTCCACTACCGAATTTTTTCGCGCGAAGCGATCTGTCTCCTTTGTCGGCATTCATTTTGCTACGTCTTGCTGACGTAATAAATGATACCGACAAAGGAAAAAAGTCGCTTCGCGCGAGAAAATTCGCTAGTGCATGGAAAACCGGCCTAAGTTTGTTGAGGTGACCAGAGTTTTAGAGTGGGATTTTCGTGTTTTAATATTGGAATCAATTGAGGAGGGACCCTATGTATGTTAAATCAATGATGAGCGGGGGGAACAGTGAAATGCTGAGTATTTTAGACCAACTTTCTAATTGGAAAGAGGATTGTCGTGATGACCCGCTTGAGCCTGGCCCTGCCGGGGCTACGGTCGATGGTCGGGGGTACGTTTTCGATGCCCCCTAGCTTTAAGTACATTGTGAAGGCGACAGGCGAGCAATTTAGAAGTCATGAAAAGGATCATTATAAGGCATATGTGGAATATTTGAGAAGTAAACTTTGAGATTGAGTGATTCAGTGTAAATATGTTGATAAACGAGTTTCGTTTTTATTCTTTTTGTAAATTTGAGGGTTCTTAAAAGAACCGGTGTTTTGTGTTTGTCTTTACTGATGCAGCCACATCGCAAAGGTTTTGACTTCGACTTTTGCGCAGTGTTGATAAGCGTTGCTTTCCAAATGGTTCCCGCAGGTTTCTGACCAGATCAGTTGATGAAATAGTTTTTCAGCTTTGGGACAATTGAAGCATTCCAAATTTACGGCCGGAATACGGAGACTCGCCAGAAAATCCCTTTCGTAATATCCGCCTTTGAAGGCAATTGTAGAGTTTGAGTCCTCGCTCTGTTTACAAAACTAAATCACAGATTTTCACGTGTTGATACAACGACTGCATTCCAAGCCACAACAAGTGCAACTTCAAACTGGATTTAGCAGAACTCTTCCCAACCATAAAACCCATGTCTTCAACTTCTAAGACTGTATTAAATTCATACGATTGATAATATACGACGAACTATCTTTACTACCATTTATTTGAAGGAGTTTGTTTTGGCCGTCGCCGTCGCGGTGCCGTCCTAAAATCGTAAGGTCTCTAATATCAAAAAAGAACGACGATGCTTCAGAGTCTCCGACCTTTATGACTCCCAACTCCTTACAGAAAAATTTCTTTCCAATTTGAAATCCGTCCATGTCGAGGATCCCAACAATGTCTGCTTTACACTGCATGTTGACTGATTGATTGTGATGTGAATTAGATTGTTTAAAATACTAATCTGCGTTTTTGCGTGCGATATAACTATCACGTGTACAAAACGTTAATCCATGTGCCAATTTATGCATGCATGCAGTCAACCAACGCGGTAGCTTTGGCAATAATATTTTGCTCTTAAAATCAGTGCGATTTCGTGTTACCCCTTTATCTCCCTTTTGAGCACGCATCGGAACATTTTAAAAACTTTGGGAAAGATCGTGATGAACTTGAGGTGGAGTTCAAGCTTTTGCTTTAAGGGGAGAAATAAATTTTGTTTAAAACGTAAATTTCTGTATTAGTTTATGTGTGAATTAGGATGTTTAAAATACTAAGCTCTGTATGTTTGCGATGTTACTCTGAGTGCATATCCACACCGGGCGAGCTTGAAAAATATGCCCGGCCACGGTGGGATTCGAACCTACGATCATTGGAATCCCACCGTGGCCGGGCATATTTTTCAAGCTCGCCCGGTGTGGATATGCACTCAGAGTAACATCGCAAACATATTATTCACCTGAGTACACAACACCAACACAGAAAAGAAAACTAAGCTCTGTGTTAGTTTATGCGTGTGTCTTAGCGATCTTACTGGACGCAAGGACACGTTAAAATGCGTCCCGTAAGAAAGTCATGTGCGTCCCGCATATAGGGACACCTCTCAAAGTGTCCCGCAAGCAAGTCCCGGGCACCCGTAGAAACGTCCCTGCGTCTCGTGCGTATATATATGAGCACATGCTCATAACTGCTCATGAGCACATGATGAGCACATGCCCATCTGCTCATAAAACTGCAATACTGTTCAATAGCAAGGCATTTCTGCACAATCAGTGCCAACGAAATGAGCTGCCAATTTTGCGGAAAGCAATTTAATCATGGTTACAATCTACGAAGACACGAAAAGCAATGTTGTCAACTAGGTGCACAAGGAAGAAACATGTCTCAAACAGATTCAGATAGCCAGGAAAGTGATTTCCAAGAAGATCTCTTGACAACTTCAACTGATGTGTCCGAAATTTCGATGACGACTGATAATGAGTCAGAAACTGAAGAAAATGGACCCTTGGATACCGTTGATAGAAGAAGCAAAGCAAAGAAGTTAATATATAGCTTTTGAGGAAATGAAAGAAAGCCCTATAAACAGTGGTTTAGATGAGCAATCCGCGAAGGACAAAGCTTTCTCTAATATTCTGCCTAAACTCCAGAAGGAACTGGAAAATATTTATATGTAGCGTCTCTTGCGAATGAAACAATTAAAGAAAGATCCAGTCAATAAGAAGATTATGCACACAAAAGATACACTTGTGGAAAACGATGATTTTGACCCAGAAGAACCGCTAGAAGCAGCTGTTGATATGAGAAAGTTTCTTATAAAAAGGCTTTTAAAGGGTCAGAATTAAATTTGATGAGGAGAATGATGATGATGATTAACAGGTCGAATATACGATTGAAGTCATGCATTCGAACAGTATATATTAGCATGTAAAAACATACCAGTATAGACACAGCATGTAACGTCGGGTCATTCAATAAATTGCTTTTTAATTACTTCTCTTTTCTTGTCATTTTTACATGGGTCGGCCGGGTACAAATCAAAATGGCAAAAACATGCGAATACGAAAATGTATACATTTGTGTGCATAAACTTTGCAGTGGCTTCCACAAAAAATGTACACCCAGTCTTCGGTACATTGCGCCTAAACGGCCCTTATGAGCAGATGAGCATGTGCTCATGAGCAGTTATGAGCATGTGCTCATACGTTCATGCAGGAATAGCAGATATGCATGTGCTCACGAGCAGTTATGAGCATGTGCTCATACGCTCATCGCACAAAATTGCACCCGACATGATTAATTTGAAAATTGAACAAAATCTATAGACTGTATGTAATAGTTCGGGTTTGTAGCCTTAGTATTGCCAATGGTTAACAAAATGTGCGTGTGTGTGTGGATGTGCATGGAATGTTTGACAGAAAACACTGATTTGCATATAATACATATATATTGGCTCATCTCAACTCGCCAATTAAATATCTCAAATAGCTGTAAAAGAATGAATCAAATCCCATGTATTTCACAGAGAAGTAAGCTAAATTAGAACTTAAGCAATGAATTAAAACGATAAATGTGTGTTTATCGAATGGGGAGAATTCGTTTTCAGCAAAGTGTACACTACTTGATTTTTCCACACGTTAGGCCGGTATTGACTCTCAGCGAGGACTCCATTTACACTGGTCACGACATCTTCGTTTGCTGCCCCAGGGCAACGTTTAACAACAAAAGTTTACTCTATCGATAACGTCAGTATGTTTCTGCCTATTACTAATATTATAAATGTTTAGGCTACTTCATTGACTGTTAAAACTGATGTCGTGACCAGCGAATCCGCTACAGTGTAAACGTGGACTTGATC